AACTTCTTAAGGTAGAATCCTTAATGCAAAACTGTTTTGAGTAAGTCAGCACATTGTAGTTAAAATTGAATACATCCACAATATAGGCAAGACAGAAAGAAAGTTGGCACCAGAAGATATTTTCTTTATCCTAACTTGTAGGTAGAGCCTTGGCCTAGGCCCAAGTTTAGCCTTTAGTTTTCTTTTATAACTTTTCTTTTTTGTAAGCCATGCACTATATAAAGAAGTAAACCTTAGGGGTTTTTTTGTATTTTAAGTTTCACTTTGATGTATTTAATAAATGACAACATAAGGTTGCTTTACCAGATAATTAGGTGATTTTATTGTGTGCATTTTCTTATGATCATCAAAGTAAAATTTCATAGCCATGTATTTCAGGTTTTGAGCACCTACACATTTTAAAGATGAATGTATATTGAGACTTTATGAAAGGATAGATAAGTCAATCCATCAGTCATCCTTTATTGAAACAACTGTGTACCTAGCAATGTATAAATCATACACAAATATGAAAACTGGTCCTACCTACAAGACCTCATTGTCTTAATGAGGAAAAATATAATACAACATATATATTGTTATGGGTTAGATCTGAAATGTCCCCCAGAAGTCTTGTGTTCAGAGGTCAGGGTTTTGAAAGGTGACTGGATGATGGAATGGTATACTCATTGCGGTGTTAATCTGTTGATGAGCTCATTGCTGCATGCTGTTAGGAGATGGGGCTGAGTTAGAGGCACTGGGTAACTAGGAGCATTGATGGAGCCAGCTGTCACTTGTCGAACAGTACCTGAATGGGGGAGTGAGGATGAAGAAAAAGAAAGACAAAGAGATAGAGTCAGGAGGGCTCCCAGAGACCGAGCGCCCAAGTTTATTTTTCTCCTCTCTTTTATACAGCAGGTGAGTTTGGTTGTTAATCATGACCCTTATCCAGAGACACCTGCTTCCTTGTTCTCTAGTTCTTTGGGAATTCCCCACCTTCATGGGCCTTCCCGTTTCTTGGGCTTACAGAACGTTCATCACGTTCCAGGGCAATCTAATTCAGCAAGGACACAGTTCCTCATAACATAGTCTCCTTGCTCTATACAATGGAGTGTGAGATTCAAAATGGAGCCTCTTTGGCTAACACCGCTCTCCACACACCGCTCTCCACAGAGCATGATCTGGAACGGTCCCTGGCTCCTCCTTTCTTTCTGCTTTATGGCTGCCATAGGCTGAGCAGCTTGCCTTGCCATGCCACTCCACCATGCCATTCCACCATGCCATTTCTGCCTTGGAGCTAATCATGCATGGACTGAACCCTCTGAAATTATGAATCAAAATAAGCCTCTCCTGGTTTAAGTTTCAGGTATTGGGTATTTTGTCCCAGCAAAGAGAAAGTGAGTTAATATACATATTAATACTTACAATACTGAATTACACAGCTTTGAAATTCTTATCTCTGAGAAAAGAAAAATCAGTGTGTATTAATCAGAGGTTTCATATATGGAATGAGTTTTACATAACAATAATAACCAGTATTTGTTGAGCTCTTACTTCGTGCTGGCATTGTCCTTAGCACTCTGTATGTGTTGCTCATTTCAGGCATAGTAAGGGTAAGTAATTTGCTGGAATCACCCAGCTAGGAAGAGTTGGATCCAGGATTACAACCAAGTGATCTGGTTCTTTAGCCAACTCCATGATTTTCTCTCACAACAAAGAGAGGTATCTGGGCAGAGTGAATTAAATCCACTGTAGACAAGAAGAGAAGTATGAACACAGCATGAAGGGGTGGAATATATCCCCTTGGTAAGTTTGCAGTATTTATAGAAATTATACAAAACATGAATACATTTTGACCATATGGAGAATTGAGCATTTTTAGCAATTATTTACTGTATGTTTGTCAGTGACGTATCAGGGAGCACATCTACCATAATAATAAAGTTTTTAATATTTTTATCTGATAGCATCAGACCATCAGTGCTATTTTACAAGATATAGAGGAAAACCAAGAAACATTATTAGAGTTTGAAATAAGAAACTCTAAGGATGCAGGTAAGTATGTTCTTATACTCAAGTGTGGTTGTTTCAGGGATTGAGGGTCATTGCTACCTCATTCTTAAGGTACATGTTTATTTTAAAGTTCTCAATGCCTGAAAAATGGTCTTTTTTTATACGAGAATATTTAAGGCATGAGGAATTATTAAGTCAGTGATACAAACCAATAGTTGTGTAATTGTTAACAAAGATCTATATTCAAGATGGTATGAATAATTTGAGGTTCACAGCTGTGATCAAAGATAAGCAACTACAAGTGATATATGTAGACATATATGTGACAAAAAGTGTAGGATAATGACTAGAGATGAAATTGTGTTGCTCCTTGGCTCCTTAGCTTCATTCAGCTATGGCAGCCTTTAAAAATAGATCAAAATAGCAGTGTGTAGTGATGACACGGACAGAGCAGATCCTCATACTTTTTAGATGAGCACATAAACCAGGTGGATATCTTACTGCAAAACACTGATTAAAAATAGCAAATTAGACTCTGATTTCTAACCCAATAATCTTAATTTCTCAAAACTTTAGCAAACATTATTTATAAACACTTGGTGGTTCATAGCTATATTTTCTTCAGTTGTGAAACTCTGATGGAAAGTAGCTCATAATAGATTCAAATCTGAATTTTTAAAATTTTTATAATTAGTACAGTGTTTGCAGTACATAATGATTAAATCCATTGTGCAGAGTTGATATATGTATATAACACAGTTTAATTCTTTTTACATCCCTTGCCTCCATCTCTTCATTCCCTTCCCATTTGCAAAAAAGAAAAGAAAAATAAAAGATTATAGGAGTCATATCTATATCTTAAAAGTTAAAACTAGTTTTAACTTTTTGTTATGGTAATAGGGATTGAACACAGGGCTGACCTACATCTTCAGCCCTTTTTATTTTTTATTTTGACAAGGACTTGCTACATTACCCAGGCTCGGCTCAAACTTTCAAGCCTCCTGCCTTAGCTCCTACAGTGCTGGGAAAAGATATGCACCACCACACCCAGCCTCATCAGTCATTTGTACAGCAGGATGGAACCATTAGTTCACTTCTTGTTGGTTGTGTAGCCTTTTGAAAAAAAAAATCATTTCATTTTAAATTAGATCCACCTACTTTTTATCCTGACCTAAAATGTGATACATATTATATTTTGAAGAAAATGATATAAAATAATTCATATTCCCAAGCTCATAGTGTACTGTGTATTTTACTTATAATACCTTATGCATTTAAGATCATTTTTCTAATTTTGTAGTTTTTATTATAAAATACGTACAGAGTAGACATACCAAAACTAATATAGAACAAAAAAAGTTAAAATTACCTCCTGTCTCCCACTACTTTTTTATGTCATTCTTAATGGTTACATGGTATACTGTTCAATAAATGTTTGTTTACTAAATTTTCCCTTTTTGTTGAACATTTAGATTATTTTCAGTTTTTTGCTATTATGTTACAACATGTAGCTTTTTCTAGGTACATGATTATCTTCTTTGGAAAGATTAACAGAATTAGAATTAATGGGCCAAATTATATAAACATTTAAAGATTTATTGATTTATATTGACAAATCTCCTAAAGAATTATGTACTAATTTTCACTTTGACCAAGACATTCTAGTGGCTTTTGTGTGTGAGTGTGTATGTAGTAGCATCAATACTTTCATTTAAAATAACCTTACTAGTTTAATTTTAAAATGCCTCATACTTTTGCTAGCCTTGTGATTTTTTTTTTTTTTTTTTTGGTACCAGAGATTGAACTTGGATCCTTGCACTTGCAGGGTAGGCAGCAGAACCACTGAGCTAGATCCCAGGCCCACCTTGTGATTTTTAATGCTTTTTTTTTTTTAATGCTAGGAATTGAACTCAGGGCCTTGCACTTGCCAGGCAGGAGCTGCACCACTGAGCTATATCCCTGGCTGTTTTATTTCTTATTTTGTGAATTGACTATTCTATGCTTCATTTATTTATCAGTCAGAGCCTGGTTATATAATAAAATTATTGATTCCTTTTTCACCACAGTTGCTACAAATACTTTCAGCCACTTTTTATTTGTGATGAATGTTCATTCAGATTTTAATACATACATTTAAAATTATGGATAGTAAAAATCTATGAGCCTTTTTTTGCATTCCTATTTCTATGAATGCTTCTAAGATTAGAAACTTTTCTTCCTCCCTCCCAGATTTTATCATTTAACTTTATTGTTATAACTTGTATACCAAGTAATCATGACCCCTTTATTTTTGTTTCACTGCCTCTTAAGGGAAGAGAGGTAAGGTGATGAAACTCTAGTGTTCTTGGCCTGTGACTAAATGCTAACTATGCTTGGCCCTGTTCCTCTCTGATGGATGTTCGAATCTCAGTCTCTTGAAAGCAGTTTTCTGAGATTCTTCTGAAACTTCTATAATCCTGTCAGGCTGGAATGCCTATGTTGCAGGCAGTGTACATTTCCCTTTCCCTCTGGCCTCTTAGTCTTCTCTTGGCTGCTGTTTTTTATTGTTGGTGGTGTGCTGGTGGTGGTTTGTTTGTTTTTCCTGGAAGTACATGCTATGCAGAGGCTTTCAGGCAGAAGCCTTCACAAGCAGACCACAGGGCAGGACAGATTAAGCCATTGTAGGCAGACCACCCTTCCACCTTGGACCCAGGCACAGGGTACACAGTTACTTTCTGCCACAACAGTGACTTTCTCTTTACCCTGCTTCAGAAGTTCCTCACTCATGACCCACAGATGTTCAGGGAGAAACCCAGATACCAATTCACTGTAGATCCCCCCTCAGCGCGCGCACGCGCGCACACACACACACACACACACATTCTGAAAAGTAGTATGCAGATAGGTTTTGGCAAATCCAAGCATTTAAAAATTACATAGGGTAACATTTTTATTTAAGGAAATTAAATGATTGGTCATTTTGTTAAAAGAAAAAGAGGAAGGGAGGAAAAGAAGAAAGGAAGGAAGTACAGAAGTGAGAAGAAGGAACGAAGGAAGGAAGAAAGAACTGGAGTAAGAGAGATGGGAAGGAAGGCAGGGTGAGAGAGCAAACTAGCTAACCGTAGAGGTTGTAGAGGTTAATCCAGGCTCCCAGAGCTTAATCAGTGGAGCAGAACAATTAGAATTTAGGTGGGCTGCTCTTTCTGGTGCATTGTTCTTACCTATACTGTAGGAGACATCCCTGCCCAGTACTAGCAGGCTATAAGTGGCACATACTTCTTGCCTGCCCTAATTCGGCTGTATTGTTTTATATCAGGAGTCAGACCAAACAGGCTCAAACAGGCATGTCAGCTAGCAGAATTGGGCTACTATTGCTCCTTTGCTAATGGCTGTCACCGAGGCCTAAGTCTTGGTCAGTGACGTGGCAGGGCCCTGCTAAGTAATGTGCAGCTGAGGTCAGCATGACCCCAATTAAAATTCTTTTCCCTGAGTTACTGCTTCTCACTGACCTTGTGGGTTGCTTGCTAATTGTCCATGGTCCCAGTACCAGTTTCTTCTATCCCACCAAGATGAGCAGTGCCTACTCCCTGACAGCCTTGGCTGGTACCATCATGCCAGGTGTTCTGCAGTAGTTCACTAGATGACTTCAAAGCTCCCTTCCTATGCCTTCTCACGATTGTTTACAATAAATACTGGAAGTGCTTGGGGTCTGGGGTCTTTGTTGCCTATAGCAGCATTGATCAGGACCCAAGACTCAGCTTCACTATAAGTCTTGTCTCTATTCTTTAACCTTTCACTGGTGCTGTGGTGGCTTATAGGAGGCTAGGACCTACTGCACAGGTCTCCAGTGACTTTCACTTCTCCTGACCCTTACATTATACTATACCTTAGGGCATTTCCTTAGAATTATGTAATTAAATAAGCCTTATTTAGATATCTGAACCATTAATATTAGAGAAGTGAGTAGGTAATAATGGCTTTTTAAAATTCATCAGTAAGGCAGACCTGTGTGGCTGAATTTAAAATTCGTTATTCTTCAGTTAACTAACTTATTAATTACCATCTTTGTAGAGCAATACATTAAAAGGATGTTGGAGATAAAAGAGATTATGGATAATGTACTTTCCAAACAGAAAGCAGAAAGGGATGATTTGGCTAAAAAATACAGGTGAGTAAAAAAAAAATTGGAGTGCTTGAGAGTTTCTATAGTGAATCCATTTTTAATTACAATACTGCTGTAGTTAAGATCGGGAATGTCTCCCAAAGTCACATGTGTTCAAGCCTTAGTGTCCCAGTGGGCAGGGTTGGGAAGTGGGGGAAACTCAGAGGTGGGGCCTAATGAGGTCTAGTCACTGGGGAAACTGCTCAAAGGGATGCTAAGACCTTGGTCCCTTTCTTTTCCTCTGTTCTTTCATGGCTTGACCTTGAAACAAATGGTAGCTTTGCTCAATCCCCTGCTCTGCCATAATGCACTGCCTCACCACAGGCCCAAAGCACTGAGATCAACTGACCATGAACTGAAGCCTCTAAAACCATGAGCCAAAATAAACCTTTTCTCTTTAAAAGTTGATTATCTTGGGTATTTATTGCAGTAAAAGAAAGGTGACTAACAAATAGTTAGACCTAGGATTTCTTAAGAATACAAACATTGCTAAGGACCCAAAAATGACTTCATGTGGCTGTCTAATCTGTTACATCTATGGGGAACTGTACTTTCCAGAAAGATATTTTTCTACTTTATTACTTAAATATTCATAAAAGAATATTTTAATATCTGAAAAAGTTGTCTACAGTGAAGAATTTAGTGAAAGCCTTCCTAGTTCTGAATCTCACAAATAAATGTGTCTTTAGCACATTCAAGTTTTCTACATTAATTTTTTTTCTTATTATTACAAATGTCCTAGGAAGTTAATTGGTATATATGTGTGTAGTGTTTATAGTGTGTGTGTGTGTCTGTGTGTGTGTACGTGCACGTGCTTTCAATATTATTTTAGGCTCCTTTAAGAGTTTTACCCTGATAATACTGTATTGGTTATATGCCTCTTCTCATGCTTTTTTTTGAGAAAATTGTTCTGTATCTGTTTCTGGTTTGGGCATGTTTTATTAGTTTTTCATAGACTTAGTTACATACGTACTCCATTATTTGTTCACATTTAATTTTTCTGTTTTCTTTATATTCTTGTCTGATGATCACTTAACATTTAATACATAATTTTTTTCTGAACTTATTTGAAGATCACTTTTAATTTTTATTTATAAACCCACTGTCTTTCGTCTTCATTTTGCCTTTCTCTGCAGTGAGTAAATATCTTAAGTTTCTTTTTCCTGAATTGTTTTTCTGGCTCCATCAAGTGAGTGAGCATTTATGAGCTACTAATAGGTAATTGGCCGTAGAATACTTTGTAGGATTTTTAGAGAGTGTAGCTTCAATTTTCCTTTATTGTCATTCTTTTGTTGTTGTTGTTGTTAAATTCTTTTATTGGTACATTGTAGGTATACAACACAATTACATTTCTCATTGGGAATTGGACCTTTACATAATGCATCTTGGTTCTTATTTTTTCCTCATTCCTAGCCCTCCCTTCACACCCTCCACCCTTCCCTATTTACAAAGA